ATATTTTAACCTCCGTTTGCGGTACCCAACAGAGCAGCAGTAAGGACACACCGCGCGCTGCCCCCGGATCGCGCAAGACCCCCTGTAGGGCCTTTAACCTACCTCCGAAACCCCAGGGGGGGCTGGGGTTTTTCGATATGTCATTTTTTCAAATGCCGGCGCTACGCGAGTCCCCCTTACTGCTGCTAATGAGCCTTAATTACCCCATATTAGTTTGCCTTGATCAGCCAGGAGAATAACAATGATGGAGGCATTTTGCATTAAGACATTCTGGTCCCTTCAAACTATCCATAGATGCTTTGCATTGTTTTTGTGCTTTAATTTTTTTTTCATTTCATTTAATCATATTTCACACCACCTAGAGTTTACATTACAGTTCTACATTTTTTTCAATAAAGGTTTACAAGACAATAATTTTATACAATTACATATATATATAACAAAATAACATGAATATTTACAATACAGTATCAGCAAGATTATTAAAACTATCATTGTTGTCACTATTGTTATTATTGTATTTACAAAGATTCAGCTATATAATAATAAATTGAATAGGAAGCTCAGGGTTGCAGACTCCTCAAGAAGTTTCAAGAACATTTTAAATGAAAAAATCAACTCAGGTTTTAGCTCATTCTGAAGTAAATGCATTCTGAAGTATTACCACACAGATCTCGGCTATTAAATAGCATTATAGAATCTATTATTTGAGTAATACATAATTATATTCTTTTTAAAAATTGCTTAAAAGGTTTATTGTTACTACTGACAGTACAATTATTGAGCTAGTTTGATGTCTTTCAAATATACCCTGTTATTATTAACAATATTAACCTTTAGGCTGATCAAAGTCAGTACATAGCTAAATTATATCTGAAATAGCTGAATTTTCCAAAGAAAGGAAAAATTCAGAACCTATATAGAAAAACCCTCAGATCAAGGGAAAGAACTAACAATCTCATGATAAGTTTAAATAAAAAAATCTACTAGCTTTAGCTGTTGTATCACAGCATTGGACAATCACAACAGAGCTACGCTCCAAACTAGCTGAAAGCCCAAAAATCGAATTAGAATTTAGTAGTTGATTTTGAGGAGGGAGGAAAACCGGAGAACCCGGAGAATTACCATCGAAGCACAGGAGAGAACCAACAAACAACTCTAATCACATGCGACATCAAGATCGGCAGGACTTGAACTCGGGCCACATTGGTGAGAGGCAGCGCATTAGCAGTGCACGCCACCTGTGCTTCCCTCTAAGATGTAATTTAGAGTATCACTCAAATCATATAAAACTATTTTACAATTAAAWTTTTAACTTCATGTAAAAAATATGTGATGTTAGTCTAGGAATGGAACTCAAGACCACAGGGGTGAGAGGCAAGTGAACTGCCATTACACAGGGGAAGATCCAGGAATTTGTTCAGGGGATGGTTCTGCGCACAAGATTAACCAATGGAAGGGGTGCAACCCTTAGAATCAAAGGGGAAAAAAAATTATTTTGTATTGGTTATCTTCAAAGTAGGGGTGGTGTTACACCACCCTGAAGTAGTGGGTTTGTACAAAAATAAACAAAAGTTCCAGTTCTAATGGCATTTTTTTTTCAATTTTCAGAATGGACAGGGTCTGAAGCAAAGACCTGGTGAAGGTATTGCCGTCACAGTAATGTGAAAGGCTGGTTACCATGGCAAAGAGCCTGGATTCAGGAAGCGATGAAGAGTTTGAAGGCTTTCCTTGTGCAGCTAGCCATTCAACAAGAAAGAAAAAGAAAAAATTGGTTAATAAAGCTTTAGAAAGTACTGAAGACGATGAAGATGATGATAGTGATGATTTTAAGGGTTCAATCAAAAGTTCTGGAAGGAAGAGAAAAACATTGGAAGCATTTGAAAGTGATGACGATGACAGCGGAAGTGATGAAGGTATTAATTAAGATGCTAAATTACATTTGAAACATCAAATGTTATCAATACTGTGTAACAACCTCTGGGCTGATCAAAGTCAGGGCAT